TATTTTTAGACTGAAAGTTGACACACAATGTATATCTATTTCATACAATTTAGGCTAAATGTTTAATTTTCTTTCCATAAGTCCCACAACAATAGAATGAACCTTGTAACACACTTCGGGGCAGAATACCTTTCAGGAGTGCTTTTGAATGCAACTTCTGGGTTCTTTTTTTTTTTTTTTTTTTTTTACATTTTCTGGGCTGGTAGATGCACGGGGGACCCGGTTATATCACTTAAACACAGTTTAAAGTTTCACTGTTTTTACGAGCTTGGTTTTTCACAGTATGATTTTTTTTCTTTTTTACACACAAACACACACTCCACCATTGCTTGTACTCCGGTTTTTAATCTAATAAAATCATTTTAAACTTCCTAATATTTATAAGACGGCAAAACTGTTAGACTAGCAATGTAATGTTACTGGTCAGGGCATCACTCTTTGCATGCATATACTAGATTTTTGTTTCCGTTTCTTTTGGATCATCCATCTTCATAGTTTCCACTAGGAAAAAAAGGGCTAAGCGTTGTCTAGTTATATATTGCCTGACAGCTCTGCTCTCTATCAATGAAATCAAATGCCGTATCTTGGAAGGAATGGTGATGGAGGCAATCAATTCAGTTTTCTGAAATGTACTTAGATTAATTAGACGTACTCCTCTTGACACTGTTTAAACATCTCGTTGTGCCAGTAGGGCTAAATAATGCAGAACTACAGAGGCGTTTTCCTTTCATCGTGGCAGTGACCTGAAAATTTGCCTTTGTGTTCAGTTCAGTGAACTCAGTGAGAGTTGTTTTTTAGTACTTGCTTGTTTAAGTTTCCATCTTGAAAATCCCTATATTTTCATACAGATCATCCGTCATAGACATGTAATGATTATTTGCTATCAGTGCTTCTAAAGTGCACATGCTGAGGTTCCTGTCTGCTTTGAGTTACATACAAACATGCTGACTGAATTACAAGATCTAATGTCCAGCATATGCTGCTGTTGCCAGAGGCAGATGCATCTAAAGTAGCTTTACGTTTGGGCTGTAGGGCATTGTTTGGCACAATGAGGGCTGGAGTCAGCACAATGAAAGCATTATGCATGAAATCCTGTTTTTTCTCGCTGGATGATACAAACACCAGAGCACCTGATGAAGTTCATCCTGATTTATGCACGATCCAGATACTTCACTTTGCATCTAATTCCTTTTGTTGAGCTCGACATGAGAAGTTCTTTGCTATTTCCGTGCATTCATTCTGCCTTTTCCAGGTGCACTTAGTCACATTTTGGCATATTATTATGGTTGGGCACAACATCTGCAGTAGATCATCTTGAGCTATATTCTACCAAATACCCGCCCACCCATAACGCACAAGCAAATACATAATCGCACACAATGTGTAGACGTTGAAATTGGGCCAGGGTGTCTTTGGAGACGGCGAATCAGAATCACAGAGGGACGCGGCACGATAAGTGGGTCACCTTCCATTATGTGGCTCTCATCATTAGAACGGTTCTGCTGAGACTGGAGTCACTTGGCACTCTCCATTCCTCTCCATCCTGTCTCATTACTCAGCTTTGCTCTTGGCAAGCAGCAGACACCACTCAAAGCATAAAAAGACGGGAGAAAAATCTCATATCCTTGTTGGCCAGAGCTGTTGTTTATAAAACATTCTGTATTTTCCTAAGCAAGCAAATTATGGTGAAGGGATCACTCAGTTCCTCGGCCCACTGAGTGAAATTTTCTTTAACACAGCTTGACAGCTCATTAAGATAAAGCTTATTATATTTTTGTCTGTATGGACATGACCATTTTTCCTGACTACTTCAGCTTTCCATTGTTAATAAAACAAATTGCTTTTGATTTCATCTTGGGTCAAATAATTTGAAGAATGTCTCAATCTTGACATGAATGGTAGTGGAAGTTCAATGCAAGAATATCGGCTGATTTTGGCATTCTCAAAGAACTACCTTGCTGAAAAAGTTTGCTTAAACCAGCCTAAACTTGTTTGCTTGTCTTTCAGGTTGGTCAAACTGGCTGCCAGCTAAAAACAGCTTGGCCAGGACCAGATTAAACCACCTTAGGTTTTTTCAATGGGATAATGAATCTATTGAAGCTCTTTATTCTCTACTGAAAAAACCTGCTTTAACTTGCCTAAGCTGGTTTAAGTTGGTCTTAGCTGGTTTGGGCTTGTCTCCCCGTCTGGTCAACCTGTTCTTCAGCAAGTCTACCAGCCTGACCAGCTAAAAAGTGCCCCAAAGTGCCCCAAACTCTTTAAAACTAGTCAACAGACCAGGCTGGGAGATCAGCAAACCAGATTAGGCTGGTTTAAGATGGCTTGTGTAAAGAAATTGTTTAACTTGTCAGGCCAGGAGACCTGTTGTTGGTCCAGCTAAAAACAGCCTAGCCAGGCTGGGGACCAGTTTAAACAATCTAAGACCAGCAAACTAACTTTTTCACCAGACTAATAAACCCTTAATAGAAAAAAAAAAAAAAAAAAAAAACTATTCTGAGCCTAAGTAGATGTCCCAGCCTAACCAGTTGAAGAGAGCCTAAAACTCCTTTAAAACCAGTCTCCAGGCCAGTCTGACCAGGCTGCGAGACTAGCAGACCGGTTTAGGCTGGTTTAAGATGATTTTTGGCGGGTTTCAGGCAATTTTCAGCTGGTCAGGCCTGAAGACCAGCTGTCCATTCAGATAAAAATAGCTCAGCCAGACTGGGAGTCCACCTTAAAGGGGTAATATGATGCGATTTCAAGTTTTCCTTTCTCTTTGAAGTGTTACAAGCTCTTGGTGCATAAAGAAGATCTGTAAAGTTGCAAAGACTAAAGTCTCAAATCCAAAGAGATATTCTTTATAAAAGTTAAGAGTCAACCACGCCTACCTAAAACGGCTCGTTCTAACACGCCCCCAACGTCTACGTCACGATGTGGGAAGATTTGCATAACGCCGCCCAAATATTCACGCAAAGAAAGAAGGCGTAACGTTTATTCTCGCTGTAGTATTGTTGTTGCAGCC